TTTTCCAACATGTTCATATTCATGTTTATAAACTTTTTCCAGAGTTTTACATTTTTTTACAATTTATTTACTATTTTTTAAGGCTCTTCAAAGTTGGTTTTTACTATTCAAAACAGGCTGATACCACGTTATCAGTAGACTGATGAATGTGTTCAGTCCAAGGTTTTAAATATCGGATGTTGGGTTCATGTCGCTCGGCCAAAATTCATGTCGGATAACGGAAATCGGGGATATATCGGGGGACATGAAAAAAATATCGGATTGCCATATCGAATAGGTTGATATAATATCATAAATGGAATCTTCACATACTTGATAATTATATTGTCTAAACATATGAAAAAGTACATATGAGAAGGTCTTCATTTTCACAAGCAACCACCAAGTTTTTGCTTTTGCATTGAAAACCAAATAGACACTAGAACAGCTTAACTGCATATGTTTAGACAATTCTTATTAAAGTATAATAATTATCCAGAATATAAAAATTACTAATACAATTCTTTATACACAACTTTATTTATTAATGTAAAGATTTATTAATTGTTCAATTTAAGAATTTATGTTATTATAAAAGTCACTTCATAATTTTACACTCAAAGAAAAAGATTACAAAAAAAAATATTCACATACAAAGCGCGTGCATTATACTAGTAGGAACAAAAAGAAAATTCTACTGAAATTGAAAATTAAACTCGTAATTGCTATTCTAAACTACTTAACTGCATCGACTAACAATTGCAGGATTTTTATTATATATCTGTCATTTCTCCAAATAAGAAACTAGTAAAAATCGAAGTATATGTGCACCTAATACAAATAAATTCATGTGTTCTTATAGCCTTCCATTATAAAGAAAACACATGCAATAACAAGTAATTAAAACCTACAACAAGCACCCATATGGGTAGTGGATGGGAAACAATGTGAAACTTTACATAAATAGAAGGTGAAAGATATTGCAAATCATATGATTTCAACATGTCAATGTGAAACCGATATTTCTGAATTTTGGCCGATATTTGATGGCCGAAATGTCGCCCGATATATCCGCTATTTTCCGACATGTCCCCGACATGACCTCAAAAACGCCATACGCATTAAATTCAACAATTTCGTGGCGGCTAGGCTCCGAATCCGCAATATCGGCCGCCATGTCGGACATGGCGGCCGATATTTAAAACACTGGTTCAGTCAACTAAAGAAAACACCTGGAATAGTTAAAAGTTTTTGTTTCATTTTGATCGACTGATGATCCATCAGTCGACTGATAAATGTCGTCAGTCGATTGATGAGCTAAAAAATATCTGTAACGGTCAGCTCATCAGTTGAATGATCAGTCGACTGATGGCCCAACGGCTAGTTTTTTTAACCTTCTATTTTTATTTTTATTTTGTTGGATTTGTTTAGGTTTTGTGCCTTGGTTTTTCTTCCTATATAAACCTCTATTGTTCTCATCAGAATTAAGTTTTGAAGAGGGTTTTAAAGAGGAGTTTAAAATGTTTTAAAGTTTGTTTAAGTTTCTAAGTTTGAGTTTACAAAGAGGAGGCTTGTATTTTCAATTGAGGAATTCATCCTCAATCTTCTTCAACCTCTTTGTGTTTATAGAGAAGTTTTTCTAACTCTTTTCTCTAGTAATTTTATTATTGATTTTTATATTCTTATTATTGCTAGTTTGCTAATTGAGTTAGATTTTATTTATGCTCATTTTATCACGTACATCCTATTTGAGCTTGTAGCATTTTATATATTATATATTGGGTTGTGGGATTGTGATTTGTGAGATTGACCTTACATTGAGTTCTCACTTATTGTAGAGAATATTTTATTGTAATTGAGCCTAATTGTGAGTTGCACATTGTATTACACTTGGACACCGAGAGAAGTGTGTGATGAGAGACGGGGTCTGTTCCAAGAGTAGGGTCGGTAGTAAAGCCTAGTGAGATGTGGTAATTCCGAACACTTAAGGAATATGACACGGGCTAGGCCAATACTTAGAAGGTGTGAAGTGTAATTGCAAGTGTGTAAGTTGTAAAGTTTTCGGTGAACTAGAAAATCATATTGTGAGGTGTAAACGTTATTCGGGTGAGCGTAAAAAATCCGATTGTGATAGTGTAGATCTCCTCGAAGTGAGAATCGAAGACGTAGGTCGTGGGGACCGAACTCCGTGATCATATCTTGTGTTTGTGTTTATCTTTTGCGCACATCACTTGTGTTTATTTACTCATATTCATATATCCTTGCATATATTAAATTGAATATCAAGATTGTTAGGATATATTTGTTAATTAATTTTAATCGACATTAATATCTAATAAGATTAGCAATGACTCTATTCACCCCCCTCTAGGATACTTTCAGTACTTAGGCCCAAACGCTTCCAGCCGATGTGGCCTCTAAAAAAACATGAGAAAATGAGTTTGTGATATCATTAACTCAAATAAACAACTAAGAATGCATAAACTAATTTAAAAACATGAGAAAGAGAGCTTGCAATATCATTAAAATAAGCGACTAAGCATGCATTAATTTTCAAAAGGAACAACTAATGCAACAAGTATACAAATAATATCTTAATATCTCCTCAATCATGTTAAGGTCCCTACCTAAGTTGTATAGAACAGGTACAGGCACCAGTATGGGTGCGTGTGTCGATACGGTTAAAGAATATGTGTGTGTGTGCGCGCGCGCGCGTGTGTATATATAGAGAGAGGTGACCTAGTATCCACTTAAGTGGATAAGAGGCATCGTCCACCCAACTTTTAGCCATAGGATCTAGTACATTGATTGAGATCTTAATGAGACAAATACTAATTGAGGAAGGATAGTATTGGAAAAAGAAAATAAATAAATCAACAAAGATAGTCAAGAGATTAATTGCCTATATTGCCTCTCTTCATCTTCTACCTTCCACACTGCAAAGAAAAAAATTTGCAGCCGAGTTCTTCTTAGATCTCTCTCTAAGTATACCCTTTTACTTTTTTATATATTTAGCAAGACAAAATTGTTTAATAATTCTAAAAGTCCTGCATTTGCCGAAGAAGGCCTGATTGCTAAGAAAAAAACCCATTCATTTGAGTGGTTTCTTGTCCAACTTGATAGTTTGATGAGTAAAAGGTTTGGATGAACTGGATTTTCTTTTATTGGTTTATTTATTGATTTTCTTTTAATTTATTTCTTTCCACACGGGGAAGGCAAATTTTCTCCCTGAGTTAAGAGGTGCAATTGATAAAATTATCTCATTGTGCTTGTACTTATACCTACTGTTTAGCAAAGGGCATATATATTTAGAGTTGCATGTAAAAAATAAATCAATTAAGAATTAATCTAATACCATTAATGGAAGGATTCTTACCTAATTAATGAATTTAAAACTCTATGGCGACCTCGACCTCTCTACTTGTGAATAGGATGCAGTCGACAACGCTCACGTGGTGGAGATAAGCCTGAAGTTTCTGTTTTCCTTATGCGGGCAATCCTAAAGTGATCTTCTCTCTATCCTTCTTCTTTCTTAATTTTTTCATTTTTTTCAATACTATCATTCCTCAATTAATTACAGTCACGTCATCTCATTAGAATCTCAATCAATCGACTAGATGCTATGGCTAAAAAGTTGAGTGGACAATACCTCCTATCCACTTAAGTGAATGGTAGCTCACCTCCCTCTCTCTCTCTCTCATATAATTAAAATTAAAAGTATCATCACATCTTTAGGTCTGTTTTATTATGTTGATTATTATAACTTAGAAAGTACTCATTTAGTCGTTTTTGAACTAGACACCCAGACGACCCTTAAAATTGTAGTTTTGAACTTAATCATGGGCAGAAAGGAACCTAATCTATGTATAATGAATTTCTAGAAATAGATGTGAAGTGTAGGGTATAAATCCAAGAAGTGTATGACAAGTGTTTTAAATTAAAACACATATCATATAATTGAGTACATGTCTGAAAAAATGTATGTATATATCCAAAGAGTGTCCATAAAGTTTGGGTATGGGTACATGTTAGGTACGTGTCCAGTATAGGTACGGTTGCATGGTAGAAGTATCCGGGTAACAATCCCTAACCATTACACCAAAACTCTGAAGTTTTGAGGATTGTGTGTTATAGTTCTATATACTAACATATCCCCCAGGTTGAGCGCCCCTTTTTTATGAGCCAAAACCTAAACTCACGCCACGGTAATAATTTTTGTTAAATCCACATTATATACATGGCCGATGGGATTTAAACCCGGGTTGCTCAGATACCATGTTAAAGTCTCTAATCATTACACCTAAACTCCAAAGTTGTGGTGAGGATAAAGAGCTATAGTTTTATATTCTAACAATCCCTTACTAATTTTTAAATAGTTTCATCACAGTATTGTTTTCACAGTAATTTATCTACTGGCTTCAACTAATTTCTCTAGTACTCCATTTAATATCTCATCAACTCTTATCCATATTTTTTTATTTTTGGCCCATCCCACATCCATAGGACCAGAGCATTCTATATACTATGTCCGTAAAGAGGAGCTGAACAATAGGCAGGTTTCTGTGTGTGAAATTATCTTGAGAGTGAACTCTTTTTATTTTTAAAAATAATCAATAAGGCTAATGAAATGTATGCCTAAGACTCTAAAACTGTAGAGGACTAGAACGTACTTTCTTAAGTCCGCCTTTTTCTTTCACAAAAAGATGTGTCTGAAAACATGAAACTTTGAAGCTATTGCTAGATTTACAGAAGTATACTTTAAAAAGGTGGAGTATAATTGTGGCGATTGTTAGTCTAATCAGTGCTTTCAAGAAGATGTTTTTACATCAAGCTCTCTGCCCAACTGACTAATGCCTTCAGAAGAGTTTAAATGTGAATTGTTGAAGCAAACTGACTACTGAAGCCAGAGAATGGGTTAGACATAAATTGTTGACTACAAAGTTTTAAATAAAGTAGTGTAGTACTGTTAATCAGAAGAGAACAAAAAGCAATAGATAACAAGCTCAAGATCCAACACTTACAGATCCTCATCAATTGATCCAAGCTTTCCCAACATTTGCTTGACGCATTTGACGTCGAGAGTAACCTGATCATCGTATTGCAATTACGAAATAATCGATGTGAATAGCTCACCCCCTCATAAAGGAAATGTCGATATCTAAGAAATATGTGGTTAAGATAAAATAGGAAATAGAAAAGTACAATGCAGGCTATGATGCTGAACATTCCCATAACTAACGATTTCGGATCTTCTTATTTCTTTATGTTCTACATTGTAGTTGTCTTCATCTAGTCGTTGCACAAGCATAGAACTTTTTTTGGTACACAGGCTATTTCCATAATATGCAAAAGATAGAAATAGGTCATAATTACATATCGAAAATTTAAAAAATTGAAATAGTTAGAAGCAAACCGAAGAGCCAAATAGGTCCCACCAGTAGCAATGTAGGCTCTTGATGCTGACATTTCTAGAATTAGGAATCTTTCTTATTCTTCATGTTCTGCATTGTAGTTCTTCATGGCTCACTACATACAATTTATCTGAGATCATCTAAGTTCTATGCTCAGAAGCATTTAAAACAAGACATGTAAAATAAAATGGAAGTACAAATATAGATCCAGTATCATGCAAGTACTAGAGAAGGATGTGCAGATCAGGATATTAGAAGGATGTTGTAGGCTGTCTAAAAATCACAACAGATAGCTGATCCTCATCAAACACCGATGACGGAAGTTACAATCTGACGACTTCCATAAGGCTACAAGTTGATGACTTTCACGTAGATCGCTGAAGGTTACAATCTGACGACCTTCACGACAACTGATGAAAGCTCTAGGTTACAATCTGACGACCTTCACGACAACTGATGAAAGCTCTAATTCAACAGCCTTCACAATCAACATCAGGAGTTACAATCTGATGACTCTCATATTTTTAAGGAGCCAAGACGAAGGTTACAAGCAAAGAAGAGATCTTCGGCTAGTTTTTGAGGGGAATTATTGGAGCTTTGGAGACCAGCAACAGGATCTTCTTCATCCTTGGCTTACTAACCGATTTCGGTTAAAACAACTCGGTTAAATCAACTCTTTCACAGAGTTTTTCTAAACTCGCTCTGAGTTATTAACTCGTTAAGAGTTATTTTCAAACTTGCCACGCAAGTCCTCCACAAATCAAGACGTTCGGATCGTCAACGAGAAGCAAACTCGACGCGAGCATTCGAGGGAGGCATCTCATCGCCACCGTGAAGAACCCAGAATTAAACAAAGGGGAGAATCAAATTTATTCTCCTCTCTTTTGTAATCGGAATCCAAATTGTAATCGATTTTGAGAGAATACAAATCAATTTTTCTTTCAATGTCTTTTTACTGCAAATTTCCAACAAATAAAAGATGGCGACTCCGCTGGGGACTAGCTTCTCTGATGAAAAAGTGGTGGCGCAATCCGACGTCAAGCTCGCTGGAACAACGGTCGAAACTCTCGTGGTAGAGTTTGATCAAGCCAAGTTTAAGAAGGCCCTCTCCTCCGGATCCCTTAGCCCCAAGGCTATGCGCAAGATCCACAAAGTTTCCGAGGAGACTAAAGCTCCAGTTGTGGCCAACTCATCTAAAGACTATCTCCCATGGGGGTTGCACTGTTCATACAGTCCCCTCTCTAAAGGAGAAGACTCGACTTCGGCACAACTCCAAAAAAGCCGATCCTCCAATCAACGCGAACTCCGCGTTTGCGAGCCTCAACATGAGCTCTGCATAAGTCAAGCTAAACGCAACCCTCAGGTGTGCGTTTCCCAGATAGAACGCAGCCTTCAGAGGCGCGTTACAACATCAAAACGCAGACCTCAAAACTGCGTTGATCTGGCTGAATGCAACTCTCAAGAGTGCGTCCCAGAACCAAAACACGGCCTTCAGAGGCGCGTTCCAACATCAAAACGCAGACCTCAAAACTGCGTTGATCTGGCTGAACGCAACTCTCAGGAGTGCGTCCCAGAACCAAAACGCAACTCTCAGGAGTGCGTTCCAACATTTAAACGCAGACATCAAACTTGTGTTGATCTGGCTGAACGCAACTCTCATGAGTGCGTCCCAGAACCAAAACGCAACTCTCAGGAGTGCGTTTCACAAACTGAACGCAACTCTCAGGAGTGCATTTCAGAATCCGAATGCATATCGCAGGACTGCGTTTCACTAGCAAAACATACACTTTGGTCTACACGACCCTCGTGTTCCTTCTTTGGAACGCGATGTGATTTGTCGTGTTCAAAATGATCAACATGGATTTAAAATTCATGTTTGCCAAGAACCAGTCCTATCCTTTAACGGACAAGGGGTTCCATCTCTACCCTCACACTCTGTGAGAGGTTCATCCCAAGTCTCTGACTCGCGGGAATGGCTGTCGATGTTCAACCGACCGACAAACGTCGTTTTGCTCAATAATCGACGACATTCTCACAGGAAGAAGACTTTAGAGGATGAATACCTTGGAGTCACTTCTAACATGGTTGACAGAGGAAAATCATCAACCCCTAGTTCTGACGAGTCAGAGACAGATCGTTCTCCAAGCGTCAGAGAAATCGCTAACGAGTTTGAAGGAATCTACCAACGCACTCGGACTCGAACAGGAGTCATTCCCCCTGTCAACTATCGGAGTTTAGCCAGAGGAACCAATTCTGATGATGAACACTCAGCCATTGCAGAGTCCCAGTCATCAAGCTCTTTTGTTGAACATGAGAGCTTCGCTACTTGATGAACAGGAGGCCATGCTCAAATCTCAGCAGGAGGCCATCAATGAACTCATGGCCATGTTGACTCAAATCGTCGCAGACAAGGTCAAATCTCAGGAGACAGATTCGCCGCTTAGGCAAAAATCTTCCCGGAGAGGAAAAGCGTCTTCATCCCGACCTCACACAAGCAAAGGGAAGGGAAAAGTGGTTGATGATGCGGCTTCTGACTAAGAAGCCCACGACCTGGAATCTTCCTCTGATGAAGGAAGAGAGACTGAGAACGAGCAGAATCTTCAGTCTGCCAAAATGGAAGAATTGGAAACCCGTCTCAACGCCATTGCCAACAGAAGCGAGCTCCAAGACGAGGGAGTTGTCAGGCCCTATCCTGCCGAATGGGATGCAGCCCCTTATCCTTCAAAATTCGAAGTCCCAATGCTACAAACTTTTGACGGCACGGGATCACCGAACCAACATATTTATCATTTCAAATCACAGACTGAAAATGTAATATCAAACGATGTCATACTGGCTCGATTGTTCGTTGACACCCTTAAGGGAGTTGCCTTTGAATGGTTCAGAAAACTGCCTGCGGGATGTATCCAAAAGTGGACAGATCTAGAGAAACTCTTCCTATCAAGATTCTTTGAAGAGGATACAGAAGTCTTCATTCATACCCTTCTCGCCACTAAGCAGAAGAAGAGGGAGTCCGTCAAAGCCTTCGTCAAAAGGTTCCGAACCATGGCTCTCCGGTGTTCGTCAGGTATGACACAGTCTACTTTAGTAGAGACCTGTCGACACAACTTGCAAACCGACCTCCTAGCCCGAATAGGAGTTGCAGAATGTCGTTCTTGGAGATAACTAATCTCTCAATGCGAGCAGGCTCAAAAAATCATTGCCAAGATCAAAGCTGAAGAACAAAGTAGGCAGGATCAGCCCGAGCAATCAGACCAAGCTCAATCTTCTCCTGAGCAACCGGACCAGGCTCACTCTTCCCAGTCAGAAGGGAAAGATACTACGGCCACTGAAGTCAATCCTCTTCAGTAGGATGGCGGGGCCAACAACTATCACGTTAACAGTTAACTCTGATAGTCAAACTCGTTAGATAATGGCTCACTAGGCGATGTGCTATGTCTACTCTTTTTTCCCCATGCACTTATTCAAGACTGTGGGTTGGTTTATTTGTAGTCCATTGGATTATGAATAATAAATTTTCTGAGTGGTCATGTTCAATAAAATACCTCTGTCAACCACAAAATCTACCACAAAACTATCATGTTAACAGTTACCTCTGATAGTCCATCAACTTGCCAATCTTCTCTAATAGGATGGAATGTCTACAAAACTATCACGTTAATGATCACATCTGATAGTCTGTTTTCTCCAGATTCTCTTGCCAATCCTCTTCAAGTAGGATGGCGGGTCCATAAAAAACTATCACATTAACAGTTACCTCTGATAGTCCCTCAACTTGCCAATTCTCTTCAATAGGATGGTAGGACCACAAAACTATCACGTTAATAGTTACCTCTGATAGTCCATCAACTTGCCAATCTTCTCTAATAGGATGGCATGTCTACAAAACTATCACGTTAATGATCACCTCTGATAGTCTGTTTTCTTCAGATTCTCTTGTCAATTCTCTTCAAGTAGGATGACGGGTCCATAAAAAACTATCACGTTAACAGTTACCTCTGATAGTCCCTCAACTTGCCAATCATCTTCAATAGGATGGCAGGACCACAAAACTATCACGTTAACAGTTACCTCTGATAGTCCCTCAACTTGCCAATCCTCTTTAATAGGATGGCAGGTCCACAAAACTATCACGTTAACGGTTACCTCTGATAGTCAAACTTATTAGATAATGGCCTACCTGGTGATGTGACTCTATTCCGACTTTATGAATAGTGCCTCACTAGGTGATGTGCCTTGTCTACCTCTTTTTATTCTCCTGCTAAGTCTTAATCAAGACTGGGGGTTGATTACTTGGAATCCACTGGATTAAGAGTAACGAATCTTTCACATCGTCGAGTTAACATTACACTTCTAACGATCATAATCCCCACAGAGTATGCATTCAGTTTGCATCACTCCCAATTTGTCACGTTAACAATACACCTCTGACAATCAACTTATCAATCCTTGACAATAGGATGATAAGTCCTCAAAATTGCTTAAATCGCAATCTCCCCCAGCAAGACACTAAGTCTTCAAAATACTATCGCTTCTGATGATAAACTCACCTAGCAAGTCTCCCCAGCGAGACGCTAATCCCCAAAATCTTGTGCAAGTCACAAGTACACTTTAAAATCTTGTCACGTTAACAATACACCTCTGATAACCCACTTATCAATCATCGTCAATAAAATGATAAGTCTCCAAAGTTGCTCCAATCGCAATACAAAATTTATCACGTTAACAATACACCTCTGACAACCCACTTATCAATCATCGTCAATAGGATGATAAGTCCCCAAAGTTGCTCCAATCGCAACACAAATCTTGTCACGTTAACAATACACCTCTGACAAATTCACTTATCAATCCTCGTCAATAGAGCGATAAGTCATCAAAATTGCCCGATCACAAATTCTTCTTGTCACGTTAATATCACACCTCTGACAAAATCCACTTATCGACTCTCTTCAATGGAGTGATAGGTCCACAAACTCGTCATGTTAACACTACACCTCTGACAATCAACTTATTAATCCTCTTTAACAGGATGATAAGTCCCCAAAGTTGCTCCAATCGCAACAAATTCTCGTTATGTTAACACTACACCTCTGACAATCAACTTATCAATCCTCTTCAACAGGATGA